AACATGATGTACATGCACTAAACCATACTCTATGACACAAGATATTGTACTAATAGAAGAATAAAGAACATAAACTGGAGCTTCGCCTCCTCACTATGCCCTGACATACATGTACACTGTACATGCAAACAAAGATATTGCAACTATAACTAAATAATAGAACCTCAGTTAGGCCTTGGCGGATTATGCCAGCATAATTTGAGCATAATAGGACCCAAAAGCATAAGCATATTGTGAGCATAATAGAGCTATAAAAGACAATTTTGAAAGAATGCATTGAGAAATGCAATAAACAGTCACTGGCACTCAATAAATTAACTGTTTTTATATTTAAATAGCTACTATTGCTCACAATATACTTTAAGAACTTCATAATTGAATTACTGGCTCACATTTTTGGGTGGGGCTAGGTTATTATAATGAAAGTCATGGGAATAATTGGGAGCATAATGGCTGACTGGTAGAGCATAATAGAGCTGTTTCCTGAGAATTGCAGCATAGCATAATAGAGTAATTTTAGAGCATAATCCGCCAAACCCTAACCTCAGTAATGTACACTCAGTGATGTGGCATGTCATGCAATGGCTACATGTAAAAGTATGTACACTATGTACATGAAGTACAAAATGTACTATGTATTAGGGAAACAGGGAAAAACTGCCACATACTACATAAATGTAAATGTAATAGTATGCAATATGCATATTTACATGTACATGCACAGTAAAGCTTTACTTAATAACAGACACCCCAAAATGGATATACACTGTACAATGTATATACATGTATGTAGCACCAAGTGTATAAAATAAAGGACACCTCTGTATAACTTATTTTAATGAAAACTTTTATGCAGTGGCCATCATTAAAAAGTTCCACTATAATGTACAAATACCTTGTATTAATGACTTACTCTGAGTCCTTTATGGCTGAACTGTTTATCACTGAGTGATGAATAATGAATGAGGCCATCTTTACCAACATCAGCTAGCACTTTAATCATTGACTTGTTGCCACAGTTAGGACAAAACAACAAATCACTTTTAAAATAAACCCTATTAATAATAACAACAACAATAACAAAAATAATAGTAATAGTATGATAATAATAATAACAACTTTGTTTGTTTCTTAACAAAAATACTAATTATTATCATTACACTGGTTGGCGGGTGCTTATTATAAAGTTGAGATTTTCCTATTAACTACATGAAGGATTGAATATATGCACAATTGAATAATAGGAAAACATTCAACTCTAAAATACAGTCTCATATGTACATGTATAAAAACATGTACATACATGTAAGCATAGAATAAATATATGTAAATGTACTTTGTACGTTTAATTGTGTGATTGTGTATCTTTTCTTGGCTTACTTGAAGCAGGCCTTGCATTGTTGAGCGTAGGTTCTTATTCTCTTGATTAACATTCCATCAATGGAGACTACATTAAGACCAATCTGTAATAGGACATTCTGAGAGAGGGGGGAGAAGTAAGAATAGAGGGAGAGAGAAAAGAAATACAAGTACATGTACATGTACACATAGGAGGAATGAGAAAAAGATGGTAGTCATAATAAAATAATGACCATCAAAATGTCAAATTCACAACATTAATTCTTTCTAAAATTTCCTATTATACAGTACATAAATTCATTACAGACGTAGGTGATGTAGAATATTTTTACACCAAATGTATACATGAATACATCAACCAAATGTACATGTACATGTATGCTAATAATACTGCATAGAGTAAGCCCCTCTAATAAATGCCAGTAATTGCTAGTGAATATTACCTGCATAGCATAGTCAGTGGTCATACCGTATAGCGTCAAATTTTTGTGGTTGAAAATTTTCGTGATTTTCGTGACTGAATGGACAATCACGAAAATATTTTTCACGAAATTTAATTTTGATATAAATGTGGGCGTGTCCCATCACGCCTTTTATTTGTTTCTCGGGCACAGGCTGCACAGCTAAGAGTCTCTCCTATAAAGGGAGCCCACCTTTCTTGGTATACGTGATAGCCATGGATACACGAAGGGAATTAATATCGAATAATGCTACCACTCATGTTGCTTCTTCTCCAAGTCCAGCTGGAAGGCTAGCTACTAGCGGCCACATGGATAGGAGTGGTTTTAATCATCACGAAATTTTATTTAAATCACGAAAAATTTTTAACGAAAATTTACTTGAAAGCAAAAATGTATGAAATCACGAAAATTTTCACCCACGAAAATTTGACGCTATACGGTACAACCAACAGATATCTCATCAATAGTCTCCTCCATCAATCCACCAATACCATCACACACTGACTGATAATTATCAGGAGTAATCCAACTATCATCATCATCCTCTCCCTCTCCCTCCCATCTCCCTCTCCTCTTTCCTCCTCTTCTTCTAATTGTTCCTCAAGACTGTCATTAGTTAGTGCTGTATCTTTATCACCATTTATAAATAGGTACATGTATATCATTATGAGTGTGCATGTGTGTAGATTAGAATATGAAAAAGGCAATTTATTTTAAGCAGCATGTGGAGTGATTTCGGGGTCATTTTTTGGAAAAAAACCATAGGCTATATAGCCTTGGGTATTTTTCAAAAATTGGCCATTTAAAAAAACAGCCATAACTTGAAAAATTGAAGTCGGAATCAGCTCTAACTTTCTACACAGCATAAGGACATCAATATGTATCAGAAAATGTAAGAAAAATTTTGGGTGATTTTGGAGCCATTTTTTGAAAAAAACCATGGGCTATAGCCTTGGGTAATTTTCAGAATTTTAGCATATAATGGTTGTAACTTTAAAAATTGAGGTCTGAATCAACTCAAACTTTCTACAGAGCATAATATGAAAATACTATTAGTCAATGGGAATAGATATAGTATAGTCTTTACCTTGTTCTCTTTCTTTCTCTCTGTCTTCTTTACTGTTAGTGTTTTGTTCAGTTGATGTGTCATCACATTCTTTATTAATATCAATATCATTGAGGGAATCACTCAGTGTCGCTTCATTCTACAATAATAAATAAAATTAATAAATAAACAACAACAATCTGGGGGTGATTTCGGAGCCATTTTCAGAAAAACCATGGACTATATATAGTCTTTGCTTTTTAACAAAAACCTGCTACTTTTAAAAATGGCCGCAAATCAAAAGAAAATGTAAAATAAAATGTTTTAGAATCACATTTTAAGCTACACATTGTACATGTACATGTGTAAGTATTTGAGTGACAAGAACATCTGAAGAATTGCCAATAATTATTAAACCCTAAATTATTTAATAATTATTAAACCAGTTGTACATATATCAAAATGACTGGCTCTATAAGAAGTTCCTTGACCTTCCATTACATGTTACATTAATAAGTAATTACATGCAAATTACGAGTTTAAAATTATACTGATATTTTTCAATTTCTTGTATTTATTTCCTTACTTGTTGTTCTTTGTTGGTTTGTATTGGGTCAGTTCTTAAATTGGTTCCTCTTTGAGGCCCTCTCTCCTTCTCCAGCTGGTAATTGAGTGCAATCAGTCGAAGATCAACAGCTGATAGACTTTGATAATCACCAGTCTTCTTAGAGAAATCAGTTACTAGAGGAGAGGGAGGGAGGGAGAAAGAAAGAAAGACAGGCAAATATGAGGGATAAAAGTTTATGGTAGTTGACTTTATTCTTATACATAATGTATTAATGTTGCTACAAAATGGGACGAAATACCGTATAGCGGGAAATTTCGGAGGGAACTAAATTTGGTGAATTTAACACTTTGATAGCCATTCACCAAAATTAAATCCACCATTTTAAACCATTATGCACATGCTCAATGGCACATGGCCAGAAATTCACCAAATTAAAATTCATCAATCACCAAAATGTAGCGATTTACCAAATTTAACTCCTCCTAAAATTTCTCACTATAGACCCCCTAGGCGCTAAGACTATTTTCAATGAATATGATTACAATAATGATATTCATTCATAATAAAATTATATTTTTATATTATAGTATCCACCCACGATGTAAATTACTGACGGCAAAAAGGCCTCAAGATCAAAGGCGGTGACACCGCCTGGCCATTTTTCTGAGCACTACAAGGTACTACAGGCTCAAAAGCAGCATTTATGGAAAGTATGGAGGCCAGACTACATCATATAGACCAGGTAACTCTTGCCGCAATATAGTTTTCATGCTATGCTTCATTATGGCACCTTGGGCTTTGATCTGCCTTTGATGTGGAGAGCTTCTTGCCGTCAGTAATTTATTGTCATGAGTGGCTACTGTAACTGATTCATTAAAAATATTCTTAGCGTCTAGGGGGTCTATACAGTACCCAGACATCATTATGTGTATGAACAACTAATATTAATATAATAATAATATTAATATGCTGTACAATATACTGTATACTGGGAAATTTTGAGTAGCCAAATTTTCAAGGATTTCGCGTTTTCTTGCTCCGTTGCGAAAATAAAAATTGTGAAATTCTGAATTTACATTGCCACGTGGTGAAGTTCACAAGCTATTCGCAAAAATATTATTTTGTGAAATCTTACAAATGCAAAATTCGTGAAAATTTAGCAATGCTAAAATATCCCAGTATACGGTAACTAATTCATCATCTCCTCTCAGTTACCATGTTTTATATATTCTTGTGATGGTTCTCTCAATATCAGTTCATAGGGTAATACTTGTAGTCTCTGGCGGGTCTCACTGTCCTTTATCTCGCTAATAACGTCTCTGATAGTATATACAGTCTGGGACCAGTCCTGCACTGAGGCCTGCATGTAGAGCCGCTCCAGTTCAGAATCCATAGTTTAGTTTCGTCGAGAGGAGGTGGGGCTATAGATCTAGATATAGATTCAAATTAATGATCAAATTGATCTATTCTACTCCAACAACCAAGCCAACAACTGACAAAAAATGTTGAAGATGAAGAAGTTCTTCGGGTTTACTGGCCCTGGTGAACAACAGCCTAATGGAGCCTCTAATGTTGAACAACCTAATGGCTCCAGTACTGGTAAACAACCTAATGGCTCTAGTACTGGTAAACAACCTAATGGCTCTACTGGTAAACAACCTGATGGCTCTACTGGTAAACAACCTATTGGCTCTACTGGTAAACAACCTATTGGCTCTACTGGTAAACAACCTAATGGCTCTACTGACGGTGAACAACCTAATGGCTCTACTGGTAAACAACCTATTGGCTCTAGTAGTGGTGAACAACCTAATGGCTCTACTGGTAAACAACCTAATGTCTCTACTTGGTAAAAAACGCTAATGGCTCCTAACTGGTAAACAACCTAATGTCTCTACTGACAGTGAACAACCTTATCGATCTGGTTCTGATAAGCAACAAAATAATGGGTCTAATACTAACATATTCACAGCCCCATTCTCAGAAAAGAAACATATCCATAAAGATCAACACCAGTTTGACCAGGCTTCCCAAGTATTATTGGAAGTAGATCTTCACATCAATAATGAAAATATTTCCGATGAAAAGAAAAACCGAGAACAAAATAATCCCTCAATTGAACCTACTCAGCATCAATGTGAGGGTAGTGAAGCTGAAACTGAGCCCACCTTGAATGATATTGCAGATCGTATCAAGAAGGCAGATGCAGAATTAGAAAAACTCAAATTAAGGGAAAAGTTGTTAGAGGACCAAAGGCATAAAGCAGAAGAAGAAGAGAAAGAGAAGTTGTCTATGTACGAAAAGGAACAAGAAGAGATAGAGATTTGTGCAATGACTGAAGAAAATGAAATGGACATTCAAATGCTCATGGAACTTGATGAGCTGAAGAAAGACGCCAAGAAAGAAATAGAGCTGGCAGAAACGTCTAATATAAATTAAGCTACTAAAAATAATGACATTTAAATTTACTTAAGGATCACTATTTGACATAATAATGTAAAAATTATTTTCATTGTTTACTATCGTGTGAGTCTTCTATATTTTCATTAACATTTCCATCTGCAGAATAAGCATCAGGCTCAGGGAATTCTTTGTCCATCCTAGTGAAAGACTCATCAGCTGAAATTGATTGAAAGGTAGTAGAAGGTATCAGTACTTTCTGTAATGTTTCAAGTAGTGATTGCACCTTGTCAATATCAGCTTGCCCACTTTCAACTTGTTGCAGCAGAGGTTGAACAAGCTTGAATCTATGATCATCTGCTTCCCGGATAGTTTTCAACCTCTCCATTTCGATGTTGAAAAAATCTCTGAAAGCATCTGCTTTTATTTTGGCAACTTCTACTTTTGTTTTACGTTCACTCTCAATAAGCTCTAAAGATGCTTTTTTCTGAAGTTCAATTTCTTCTTTTTTTGCTGCATGGGACTGTTCCTTCTCCTCTAAATTTAATTTGTGCTGTAATTTACACTCTTCTTCATTTGTTTTTTTCTCAACTTCAAACTCCCATTTTTTATATGCCAAATCTTTTTCATGTTTCCTCTCTTCAGAAGAAATTTTCTTTTCCAGTACCGCCACTTCCTTTTCCTTCTGAATAAGTTCTTTCTCTTTTGAAACCTCTGCCTTTTCCTTCTCGATAGCAAGTTCCCTCTCTTTTGAAACAGCCTTTTCCTTCTCGATAGCAAGTTCCCTCTCTTTTGAAACAGCCTTTTCCTTCTCGATAGCAAGTTCCCTCTCTTTTGAAACAGCCTTTTCCTTCTCGATAGCAAGTTCCTTTTCTTTTAAAGCCAGTGCCTCGTCACGGTCCTTTTTGGCCTTCTCCTCTTCCTCCTTTTTGCAAGTTTCGCATTTCTGTATGGACTGCATACTTTTGAACCATCCACTTTTTCCTCATGTCCAGAAATTAGAGGACACGGAATTTAATTTTTCAGTAAAACTCCGTAAATTGTAGGAAGCTAAATGTAGGCGACATGAATGGAAGAATAGGTTTTCACTCTTGTCCTGAAGGATTGGAGCAGAAGCAAGCTTCATTTCACTTAGCA